GGTTGCGGGCAGAAAAGAATTTTTTATGTCTGGGTGGACTGCTGTCCAAGGGCCGGAAAAGAACACACAGATCTGGTATGCATATCTCAAAGGCAGGGTGGAGCAGAAAGTACAGAGGGAGAGCCCTGGGAGTCACTAACAGGAAGTTTCCAGACACAAAATCCCTGGAGCAAGAAATGGTGCCAGCATTACCCTTACAGGCCAACTCGCAGTACCCTGGGTGTTTCCATTGTGTTTATTTGTTTTGAAGTAAAGACGGGACAGGGGAGGAGGGATTGATCACAAGTTGTTACTCAGCATTTCCATGGTGTTTAATGTTTGTAAAGCTCTCCTGCCCTCGCTTAGTCCTAGGCTGCCTAAAGTACTAAAGGAATTTGAGATTCCAGCCAAGAACTCTTAAGTGCTTAGCAGATACAAGAACTTAACCCTGAGCCTCTGGGCAGGCACTGGTTTAAAAATTAATGCTGTAATATTAACACTATTGAAAAATTATAACTCAATATAATAATCTCTCTGTAAAGCTGATATGCCATTTGGTGGTGACTGACCTCAGCAAGCCCATGATGTGGGCTCTTTTTCAGTCTCCCTATTTACACCTGGACATATGTCCACATGTAAAGAATAGGCCCTGGTGGCCTCCCCTGACACGAAAGCATTCTATGAATGACACAGCCAGCAAACTGGTTTCTTGGAGGCAGGATCTATAGCTCCTTGACCATTATCTAAAGCTGCATTCAGATTGATAAAGTTAAGAATTTCTGCACAGCTGTCAAGTGGGCCAGCACTTCCTGTAAGCCTACTGTGTGCACACTGTAATATATGAGAAGCACGGTGAGGTTAAGACTTTTTAGATTCAAGTTCATGGTATCTGAAATGGGTATATTTGAATGTCTGTGTTTACATTTAGTAGTCTGAGAATCCCTAATCCAAAAATCCAAAATCTGAAATGCTCCAAAAGCTGAAACTTCATGAGAAAACATACAGTATAAAATTACCTTCAGGCTAGATGCAAAAGCTTGTATCAGAAATAAATGATTTTGTGTTTCGAGACAGGTCCTATGCCCTTAGGTATCTTATTATGCTTATGCCAGTGTTCTAAAATACTTTTTAAAAAATAAGGTCTGAAATCAAAACACTTTTGGCCTCAAGCATTTCAGACAATGGACATTTACCTGCAGGTTCAATAAAGTTCAGTGACCACATTGGTTTGTTTCCATAGAAATGCTGCCTTTGGGGCTGGGGATGTGGCTCAGTGGCAGAGCTCCTGCCTTGCATGCACAAGGTCCTGGGTTCGATCCCCAGCACCACATACATTTTAAAAAGCCAATAATAGTAATAAATAAATTTTTTAAAAAAGAAGTGCTACCTTTGGGAATACATAGTAGTCTGCTGTGAGACCACTTGGTACAGTAGAGTGAGCACACTTAAAATTACTATTTGGCACAGGGAAAGGGAACTGAAAGCAGGGAACAGGAGGGGAAAGGGAAAGGAGATCAATATAAAAAGAGGGGGTTGGGAAGTGCTATGTACACTCAAGTACACAGGAGGAATGTGATCATCATATACTACAAACATGTACTCAAATGTATAGATGAGAAAGGACCAAGAGGTACAGGGAGGGGGAGGGGTTAAAAAAAAGAAATGAACAATGTCATGTAATGCACCAAGCAACTCCCCATGATGAATGTAATCATAATGTACCACAAACAAGTACCAATAAAAATTTTTAAAAGTACAATTAATATATATCCTGAGGAAAAGGGGCTTCATTTACTTACCATAAAAATAAAAGAGAATCTTAAGAATGTATTTCAAATGAAAAGAAACAAAAAATAAAATAACATTTTTAAAAATGTAATGTATTCTAAAGAAAATATCTGTTTTTTTGTCAGGTCAGTATCAAAACTCCATTCTTGGGGTTGGGGATAGAGCTCAGGGGCACAGCACCTGCCTGGCAAGCGCAAGGTCCTGAGTTCAATTCCTGGTACCAAACAAAACAAAAACAAAACAAAACAAAAATCCATTCTTCCCTGCCACATTCTATAGGATAATTAGGAAAGTCTGACCAAACAACACACACACACACACACAAACATGGCAATGAAGAATTAACAGAAGATCTGCAGAAGGCCAAAATCTAAAAGGACTAGCTCATGATTTGTGGCTACTTTCCTCTTGGGGGACCTGCTTGATTTAAGCAAAAATGTCTGAGTGGCTTGGAGCTGCATTTCTGACTGCCTCAGGAGAAAAGAAATTAGAGACCTGGCACCGCCAATGAGCTGGCTATAATTTCAGACAAAATAGAATAAGACGAAACCTTATGAAGATGAAGACAATGATAAAAGGTTTAAAAAGCAGGATTAAAAGCTGGAATTCCATAACCCAACAATTCTAAACTGGTAGGTACCTAAAAATAGGTCTTAGAATCTATAAAGCAAACAACTTACATCGTTACAAAAATGCAGAAAAACAGGAGTCATAGTAAGAGCTTTAATACATTTCTAATCAAGGACAGAAAAATATTGGCAAATTTGAAAAAAGTGACCACAAAATTAAAATTTAAATTTTATATGTAGAGTACTACTTCATTATGCATAAATACCACATTTTCTTTATCCATTCATCTGTTGATGGACATACAAATTGCTTCCAAGATTTAGCTATGATGAGCTGTGCTGCTATAAACATGGGTATGCATGTATCCATGTAACATGATGTCTTTAACTTTTTCAGGAAAATAGCTAGAAGGGGAATAGCTGGATCAAATGGAATTTCTAGCTTTAGTTCTTTTTTTTTTTGTTTTGCTTTTTTTTTTTGTTTTTTGGTTTTTCTCCGGTACCGGGAACCGAACTCACGACCTTGCGCTTGCCAGGCAGGCGCTTTTGCCGCTGAGCTAAATCCCCAGCCCCTAGCTTTAGTTCTTTAAGGAATCTCTACATCGGTTTCCATAGTGGTCACACTAATTTACATGAGTCATCTGTAGGAAAATGAACGCACCTCGAGACCATAATGTTAACTGAAATAAGTCAGACACGCAAGCTTCAATAGCACACTATTTCTCTTATATGAGAACCTAAAATATAAATAAATTAAAGAATAAAATGAAAAATAGATAACAGGAAGCAAGGAGATAGACCTTTTGTAAAAGGGAAGGAGTCCAAGAGGGGGAAAAAGGGGGAAGGGATGAAAAAGAATTAAAAAGTGTTAGGTACATATACCAACCCCCTCCCCCCATGAGGAATAAACTCATGTACTACAACATGTAGTAATGAAAATAAAAATTAAAAGGAATATAAATGACAGGTAGATATTCACTATAAAACAATGGTGGCTTTTTTACATGTCTGAAATTTTTCATAATAAAATGGTAGGAAGTAAATTATTCTCAATACCTTCAAAGAAATAAAAAACAACAATGATAATAAGTAAATGTCGGCCGGGTGTGGTGGCGCACACCTGTAATCTCAGCACTTGGGAGGCTGAGGCAGGAGGATCATTGTGAGCTCGAGACCAGCCTGGGCTATAAAGTGAGCTCAAGGCCAGCCTGAACTGCAGAGCGAGACCCTGTCTCAAAAAGACAAAAAAAAAAAAAAAAGTAAATATCACATGTAGAACTTTGCACCCAGGGATCCTCAACTGTATGTTCTTGTTCAGCTCACACGAAAAGTCACTGAAATTGAACAAATGCTTTTTATTTGCACAATGGGGAAATCTGCCTCCAAAGAAACCACAGAGTATATTCTTCTGCTTGTCCCATAAAGAGGTACAATGATGGTTTCCATAAGCAAAGGAGTCTCAAAAAGAGAAGTCTGCTGCCACAAGTGCCTTAGTGACTTCGAATTGCTGCTTGGCCAGGCCTGAGATGACCAGGATGAAAACAGAAGCAAGAGAATGGAGTGAGAAGACCCATGGAGCCTTCCCTGTCCTGTCCTGGCCCTGGGAGTTTTGTGATTAACACTGAGTTGTGGAAGGAAAAGGATAATGCGAAACCCTGGCCTTCCACCAAAGAAGAAAGGAAGGCAGCAGTAAAAGCAGAGTCGCTTGTGCAGGGTGATTTAGTTTTTCTGTTTTTCTTTTCATGGGAAAACTCTAATTCCTTTCCTCCTGGATTCCTGTGCCCTCCTCCTGTGTCACCCTGCCCTCGCCCAGGCATCTACATGGGAACCTAGTGACAACTCTGCCACTCCCGCTTCACAAGCACCCACATGGGGAGCCAGACCTTGTAAACGCAGTACCTGTTCGGACACGCTGCATCTACCAGAAAAGTCTGCCTCGCTTCCCACCTTGTTCTTGCCCCAACTTCCACAGGAAATAACCAGGCCCTAAAGGTGTTCTTTGCCTCCACCCTCAACTTCAGGGGCCTGGATAAACTTCTGTTGCTGTGGGAGCTGGCATGGAAATGTGGACACATGGACAGATCCTTCTCTCAGGATTTAGAAAACCTGAGTGAAAGCTGTAAGCCTAGGGTGTGGGATACAGGGTGCAGACACAACCTGTGCTTTCCAGATAAACAGCCCTACGTACAACCCTACCAACCACTAACAGGTTAACCGGAACCATCCCCCAAGCCTGGCCTAATTAGAGGAAATATTCAAGCAGGACTTTCTGCAGTAGCGCTGACCTAATTTTCTGAAAGAATCTCAGCAACGTTACCAACTCTCCCCCAGCCTGGCAACATTCCGCGCTAACACATCTTCCAGCTACCGGCAGCCCAGTGTCCCCAGAGTGTCCCCATGAGCCAACTCTGCCGCTGACTTCTGCATCCAGAGGCTGGGGCACAAAAAGAGCATCCTTCCCACATCCACCGGCCTCAACAGACATGTCTGCGCTCATAGCAGAGGGTTCTGAAACCACTCTCAATACACACTGTATCGCCTGGATTTTTACGAGCACCGCTTCAGGAAGTAAAGCATGTTAATGTGACTCTAAGTGCCTTATTAATAAGTAACCTCCGCTGCTTTTCCTTTGCCGCTGTCTGGCAGAGGGCCATCCACACTTACCTTCGTACATCTCCAGGATGTGCACCGTGTCACCAATCTGCAAGGAGAGCTCCACATCTTGAGACGCATTGTAGTTATAGATCACTGGAAACGAGGAAGAAAGGGCAAATTAGAATGCATGTGATTTCCCGGCACATACAGGGGGCACTGAACGCTGTAGTCAACAAACAACTCTCTATGATATGGCTTCCTGTGAATCACCCACGGGGAAACAGCCTCATTTCCACCATCAGACAAATATCGACTGGCTGCCTACTACATCACATACGCCATTAGAGACTGGTGAAAGAGTGACAAAAACACAGAGGCATGATCCTTGTCCCCACAGAACTTCATAGTCAGGGGTGGAAGTAGGTGAGAAAGATATTTAAATATATAATCACAGAAAGAACTTTAATTAAAACTGGGATAAGCGTTATGAAAGAAAAACCCAGGCTATTGTGTATACACCGTGGGGTTCTGTTGGCAAGGTTTTTGTTCATCAGACTACAGTGTGAAATACACTAATTTTATAATCCCTAGGACATAGGAGAGCCATCTATTCGTTTCCCTGACACAGTATTTAGTGGCCAAAAAGTCACACAGGAGTACCCTCCGGTAACAGACTAACACAGGGGACAGGGCAGGGACAGCACCTTGCCCGGGTCCTAAACACCCTGGGGCGTGGGAGTGCTGTAGCACTTCCTGATGAAGGTGATCTCAGCCATCATGGTCCTTCCAACTGCAACGCCTGGTCCAGGTTCCTGAAAACAGCAGACTGACTCACATCCTACAACAAAGGCAGCAAGCCAACGCTGAGGGGCAGGCGCTGTGCATAGATATTTTACCAAAAATTGTATGTGACTAATAAACACAAGAAACATATACAACCTTATTAGTCACCGAGGAAATAAAAATGAAAACCACAATCAGATACCACTTCACACCCACAAGAATGGCTGCAATTAAACAAACAAAAAAACCCAGTCACTTGGCAAGAACGCGGAGAAACTACAGCTAATCAGGCTGGCAGGAATGCAAAATGACAGCCCCTTTGGAAGCAGTTTGATGGCTGTGTAAACGTAAATTTACCATACAACCCAGCAGATCTACTCACTCCTATGTAGCTCCAAAGAGAAAAAAATATGTCTACAAAAAAACCTTATCTGAATGCTCATAACTATTGGAGGATTTTTAAAAATCTCCCCACCAAAAGATACCCAGATCAGATTTCTGGAAGCTGTGTGTTTCCTTATATGGCAAAACAGGTGGTTAAGAATCTCAGTCAGTAGCTTTTCCCCGATTCTCAGGGTGGGTCCTAAACACAGTCACAGGTATCCTTAGGAAAGACAAGTTTTGAGAGATGCACTGACATTAGAGCGATTGGCTTCACAGGCAGGACGGCTGGCAAACACTACATGCTGGCAGGAACAAGCAATGGGATCTCCTGAGACCTGAGGAGGAAACTCAAGTCTGTCCACACCTTCGTTTCAGAAGTTTGGACTCCAGAACTGTGAGATAATAAATTCTTGTTTCAAGTCACTGAGCTTGTAGCAATTTGTTACAGGAGGGAAAGGAAACCAATACAGTAGTATTATGCACAAGAGCCAAAAAGTAAAAACAATTCATCAGCTAATGACTGCATACACCAAATAGGGTACAGTCATCCTCGGTACCAAATAGGGTACAGTCATCCTCGGTACCAGCAAGGGATTAATTCCACGACCCCTGGAAATACCTAAGTCCACAGATACTCAAATCCTTATATCAAATAGCACAGTATTAGCATATAACCTAAACACACCTCTCATATATTTTAAATCTACTCTAGATTCCATATAGTGCCTAAAACAATTTACGTGCTATGTAAAGCATTAGAAGAAAATAATGACAAAGAAAAAAATATCTGTACATGCTCATTAACACAACATTTTCCAAAATATTTTTCATCTTTGGTTGGTTCTGAAGTCATGCATATGGAATCCATAGATAGGGTGGACTATAAATCCATCCAGTGGAACACTACTTAGCAATAAAAAGGCATATGTGTATATATATATATGTATATATAAATATATATATTCTTTCTACAACATGGCTAAACCTCAAAAACAATATGCTAAATGAAAGACAAAAGAAGCAAATGACCATGTGTTTTATGATTCCATTCATTCGAAGTGCTGAAATGGTCTAATCTATTAGACAGTACAGCGGATTATCGGCTGCCTAGAGTTGGAGAGCAAAATGGTGATTGAGCAAGCCACCCATTCAGGAGCTTTTTGGGGAGATGGGAATGGTCTAAAAGTGGGGTGGGGTGATCATTACACAACTCTGTGAATTTATTAAAAATCACTGAATCAGAGACTTAAAGTATATGGATTTATGGCAGGCAAACTATGCTTCGAAACTTTATTATTTTATTTTAAAGTAGATCTTGCCTTTACCGTACTGATGAGCAATCTGGATCCTTCCATGCACAAAGCTCCAGCCCACGATGCTTCCCATCCTTGCGGGCCCAGGGAGCATGAGTATGTTCACTCAGTCTATGTGCATCTCTCACACGGGTCACAGAGCAAAGAGAGAACAGCGGCCCCGCCACTGCCAGTCGGGGAGCTTCCTGCTTCTCCACAGCTCAAGCACAGTACGTGAGTGGGAAGGAGCACACCGCCAGCCTCCTCTGTGCCAGTGGCCTCTCCTTTACAAAGAAAGTCACCCAAACAGCGGCACAGATAAGGCTGGAAAACTTATGCTGGAACTTACTCACTATTGAGCTGTGAATTCAGAATAAAGACCGGCTGATGAGCGAAGTTGAAACTGCACAGAACTCAGGCGGTAGTTTTGGGCTCTTAGACCTGTTCATGTGTTAACAGGCCTCACCCACGGCTGCAGCTGCTTTTCCACTCCAGTTCAACTCCTTCAATTGCTAGTTGAGTCAAATGTTTTGCCCACTTAGTACATACCATGTTTTCTAAAGAAAACACAGACTTCACATCAACGACACCCACCCCCCCGGCCTTACTAACATCACTGAAATGGTTCCTTCCACTGGACCCCCTGCAGATGGAAATAGAAAGCAGTGAGGTCAGTGTGTCACAATGTGTTGTGTAATGACCAGCTTCAGCTCTTCCTGGTTCTTAGTCACCAGCAGTGTAAGCAGAAGCTCTAAAAGGCAGCACCTTGTACTGGGAGCTCCAAGCCAAATACGTACCAAGGGTTATTGGAAATGCTTAACAGCTAATGATTACTTATTTGATCAATCTTGCATGTCTCTATTTGTTTTCCTGAGAAACCGCTTTGAAGATATCAATACAACAACCATTGTTATTGTTATCAATACGTAACACCACTTTATCTATAATTCAGTATTGCTTGTACTGTTTTTATGGTATTTTGTAAATGGATGTCTGTTGGTTAATATGTTTTCCTTTTATTTTTAAAATAAATTTTAAAAAACTTTTAGAAAAGGAAATGCATACACACACACATACACACACACACACTGAAGACCAATGTGTTTCCTTAGAAACTTTATTTGTAGGCCTGAAATCAAAGTGCTGTCCTGATCTTAATTATTCATGCTTGCCTCTACCATTTGCCAAATTCCACCCACCTCTCTAGCCAAGACTTTTATATTCTCCTCTAAATTCTATGCTAAACTCAGAATTTAACCACAGCCTGCTTTTTCTTTGTAACACTCCAAATCTCACATTCACAATTTAGCAAACGGCTACCGTCTCCCCGTCACCCCGTATGAACTCTTTCTTCTCTAAGCTCCCACAACTGCTCTCCCCTTCTCAGCGCAGTCGGGGTTTGTCCTCACCAATAACCTTGTGTGACTGCCACCCATTAGAAGTAAACCCCTCATGAATAGGGAGCTGGTTTCACATCCCTTTGCATCTTTCTCGTTACAATGCACAGGCTTAACCCGCTGAAGGGACTCCAGGTACAACAATAAATTTAAACAGAATATTTTTAAAACAATATTTGTATTCCTTCTACAAATCCACCCAGTGGTTCGGTTATTCACCACTTCTCCCTCCAACTCAAACATACTTCTGCTTTCATCCAAACAGACAGCCGTGGTTTCCTACTGCTCAGGAAAGGGATATCAAAATCACCTCTCCGGCTGATTTCTGTTTATCACACAAGAAAGGACGGTTTTCCAACCTAAGCTTTGAAAGAGATTTACCTCAACAACGTATTTCACAAGAGAGAGAAGTCACACAGTTTATACGATCTATTTCGTATCTCTGTGCAGAAATACAAACAAGATTCCAATCACTTAGAGCCACTGTCTATTCATTCCAACTCTTCACTCTAGCACCTATCCCCTATGCTTCATCCTGTCGCTGAGTTTTATAGTTACACATATCACAGTAACTGTAGAGAGTGGATGTCAGGCCACTGCAATGTTTAATTAGGAAGTTGCGACTTGCTCAGAAGGGTTAAACTCAGCTCGAAGGCAGCCGGGCTCAGTAAAGCGGGTCCATTCATCATTTGACCAGGCTGGTCCATAATGGCCAGAGTATGTCCTCGAAGCCCCTAGAAAGAAAGAGAAAAGCCTCTGCTTCTCTCACTGAATGAGAATCCTAGCTCCAAAAATCTGGCTGTGTCACACCAACAGTGACTGGTGGTCACACTGTCTGCTCGCCTGCTGCTATTTTAAAAACAGGAATACAATTAACGCACTTTCGTAGGTTACGTTTTCATCCTAGACTGGAAGTAACTACTACTAAGAAAGCCAGAGGAAGGGGACATCAAGGAAAACCTTAAGGTTCCGTAAAACATAATTCAAGACTCAGCTTGAGTACTTAGACACTGCAAAACTTTTACTGAGTCCATGTGGACGTCACTTTGTCATCAGTGAAACAAAGACGGGACAGGTGGACTCTGAAGGCCCTCTGGCTCCAACCTCCCGATTCATGAAGTGAAGATGCAGGCCAGAGAAACACTCTGTGCTGCTTTGAACCGGCAGGCACCACTGCAATCTCTTGTTTTGTCTGAGGAAATTAAACAAGAACAGGGAGTCGCTGTACATAAATTGCCTCGCTGGCTGCTATGTGCAAGGTTGGGAAAGGCAAATTGCTGGAATTCTTCCCTAAGCA